TTATGGTTGTAAGGCAGTGAAGCATCAGTGGCAACACTGATGTTGCTGTCTTTGATGATGATGTTAGACCCATACTTTACATTAAACGCCGGAGGAAACTGGGGATCACGTTTGAACAAGACGTGAAAGATGTCCAAGGCCTTTGAAAAGTCAGGCAACGAAGGCTACTGGCGGCGTATTTGGAGCGAACTTCGGGAGGCTTAACGCATCCCGGTCGGGCCCCAAGGGGACCAGTACATGCGGAACCGGGGTCCAGGGTTACAACTGTTTCACACGGACGTTAAGAGTTAGGTTGGCAAAGTGATTCTACCTGCTAACTCTATTCCTGAATGCTCAACCCACTGGACATGTTTTGTGAAACACGTCTTGGTGAACAGAGCTGAGGCATATCTGCACTCCTTTGTCTGTAATTGAAAGAATGCAACAGGTTACCTGGACTCTGGTGGCAGCTAATGGATGAGCTCAGCAGGCTCTGGAGTCAGTCGGTATACAAAGAAGAAAGGAAGAAGGCGTTCAGCTGTAGCACCCTTCCGGTGCCTAGCTGCCATGCCACTCGAAGGGAGCACGAGGGCTGGGATACTGCCAGGTTGCCCAAGCCTAGACAGGGGAAGTCGAGTGGCGGAGGTCGGATTCGAACCACGGACCTTCAGGTTAGTAAACTCGCGCTCTAACCACTTCGGTATAGAAGAAAGCGTTCAGCTGTAGCACCCTTCCGGTGCCTAGCTGCCATGCCACCCGAAGGGAGCACGAGAGCTGGGATACTGCCAGGTTGCCCAAGCCCAGAAAGGGGAAGTCGAGTGGCGGAGGTCGGATTCGAACCACGGACCTTCAGGTTAGTAAACTCGCGCTCTAACCACTTCGGTATAGAAAAAGCAGCTATACAGTAAAGGCTTTACTATTTACCACAATCTGTGTGCGCCAAGACAAGATACGGATTTCGTACTTAACTGAAGTTTCCCACTTGTTTGTTCGCCTACAAAGATTGGCCTACCGGTCGGTGCGCGGCTTTCAGATGTATAAAAGCTGCAGCTGTGATGCACGGAGAGCAAAACAGTCAGTCCTAGTGCTGGGACCTGCGGAGAGATCAGTCATACTGTATTCTGATTGGTGATGACCACAAATGGTTTTACTAGTTCCTCCGTTGACACTGAAAGGTTTCAGTTCCTTCCGTTTCACAACAAACTTGAGGGGAGGCCTAGAAGGACCTAGAGAGAAAAGTAGAGCGACATCGTGGGAGGTGAGACTCTCACAAGTAGCTTGCAGCACGAGCGACGGGGATGTCGTTCGTGTGAACCGCTTAGGGGGGCGAGATGGCCCAAGTGGTTAGAGCGCGAATTTACTGACCGGAAGGTCCGTGGTTCGAATCCGACCGCCGCCTCTCGACTTCCCCTGTCTAGGCTTGGGCAACCTGGCAGTATCCCAGCACTCGTGCTTCCTTCGGATGGCATGGCAGCTAGGCACCGGAAGGGTGATACAGCTGAACGCTTTCTTTCTGAACCGCTTAGTAAGACATGAGTGAAAAATGTAAACGAGACCAGAGTCAGCGGTAATTCCGATGCCACAAATCAGTAGGCCAGAGAGACGGGCGAGTTACGTGGCACATACCGTTCCCTTACATACATCCGCCGACGCAAGGTACGGTCGCCACCGACCCTGGTTTAATAATGAATGCACAAGTCATTTGAGCTTGAATGTTCAAAGGGCATTGCATCAAAGTCAAAACAGCTGTGGCGTTCTAGAACGACACATTTAATTAAGGGAGTGCTGTTACACTCACCTATTAGCAGTGTACAACAGGTGGGCTACACGATGGCTGAGTTTCAGGTCTCCATTTTGATACTGTGAAATTAACTGACCAACGGGTGTAGATTTGTCCGGAAAATGGATGTGGAGTGTTTCTTTTCCAGTAATCTGTGTGAGTGCGTCACATAACATTTGTGATTGAGTTTTCTTCCCTCCTTTTTCTGTCCCTTCGAAAACAATGAACAATCCACGCTTTGTCATAGCGAGCGGCGTCTCGAATGGCAAGCGGGCTTGGAACCACAGGGTGGACAGCCAATAGTATGCGAGTGAGACATTAGGCAAAAAGGTCCAGCTCCTTATTCGTTGTTACAATACAAACATTGTTCCACCCATACTTGTGCTTCAGAAAGACGTCCAAAGTCATGTTTTGTCCTTTTGTTTACGGAAATAACTGCCTTCGTTGTTAAGTGAGGTTTCCACCATCCTGCCCCATCCTTACATTCATGTGATGAACATGATTGAAACTCTTTTCATTGCTCTTGTTTTATTATTCTAAATGTTGAACATATACCTAAATTCGAATGCATACGTGCCGCTTGTTACGTGTGCTGAATAACTGCCTTCGTTGTTAAGTGAGGTTTCCACCATCCTGCCCCATCCTTACATTCATGTGATGAACATGATTGAAACTCTTTTCATTGCTCTTGTTTTATTATTCTAAATGTTGAACATATACCTAAATTCGAATGCATACGTGCCGCTTGTTACGCTGTGCTGAATTCTGGATTTCTAGTTTTTACTGGCTGTACCGATATACGTGCTCGACTTTATTTCTACAGTTCATGTAAGTAGACGACTCAGTTTAGAATCAATAACAGTATAGTATGCAGGCTATGGGAGCACCAGTGGAAAGTTTCTCCGAATGTGGGGTTTCACGACAATTTCGGTGGCTGGAAAACAGAGAAAAAGCTCATGGGTCAATGCTCGGTTTACATGGTTGTGCATCATTTGTGCTTACACAAATCAATCAAGCTGTTGGGCACTATTTAATACACCTGCACTCATTTTGAATAACGCTATCCCCGGTGTGTCATGATCCACGTGACCCGGTCGGTGCCGGTGGTATTGTGCGTTAGGCTGCTGAACATATTCAGAGTTTGCTGTGTCTGGGGCTGCGTCGGCCATGTGGGATTGGGCAACACGGTAGCTCCGTGATCTGTACGCACATGTTTAAAGCGAAAGACTTTGTGGTAGGGCCATCACTGTGTGGTAACCATCCTGACAGGGTTGGAAAATATGCAGTACACACACCATGGAAACATCAGGGGACAGTGATTTTCCGGAGGCGGGTGTTCACGAGGACGTCTGCGGATTGAAAACACAAAGAATGCTCATGAGCCAATGCCCGGTAAGCAGATCTATACATCACCAACACTTACATCAGTCAATCTAGCAGGCGGGCACTGTTTACTATAACAGGGCGTGTAGAGTCGACGCTTATCCAGACTATGCCATTTTCTCGCAAACGGTCATGTGTGGAAGGGACAGATTCGGCCTACTTTGTGGTACTTCTCTGTATACACGCTTAAATCAACAAGTACCATGATTTGAGTTACATCGGTTGTAATCCGATTGGATTAATCTACACTCATACGTTTTTCAGAGCATTCAGTTTTCATGTTGCAATGCTACGACTGAGTATGGCGTATGCCCGCCTCCAGAGATGTTTGTTGATAAATTGAAGGCTGTCCAATCTTTTTTCACAGTCTTTGGTCCGGGATTAAGCGATTAAGTGAAAGGTAACATGATGTTTGCACGCTCGACTAGCAAAAAACATCAAATGCGTCCTGCGCTGCGAGTGGATGTACTTCGATTACGGCAGGCCACCCCCGAAACCAAGTAAGAGTCAAAGTATCAGAAGAGGCTGGGATACTGCACGCGGGTACGGACTGGTGATAATGATACAGTAGATGGAAGCATATTTGAGGTATATATGAATCTCTAGAAGGCAGCACTATGCGTTGCTCTGACGTTCCACAGGCGGCGTGAATACCGATAGTGCACACGTGACAAACCGATGTAGACGATTTCTTTTGAGGCGCCTAGGGTGTGGCATGTAGATACCGGCTTCTCAATTTCATGAGCGCATATGCCAATATCATAGGTGTTGGGCGTCTTATCTGCCTTCTTTGAAAGCGAAAACCTCTGTCGAATGTGTAGACTATGCAGCTTGGTTGGAGAGATGATGGGTAGACGGCATTCAGTGAAGATGTTCGTAAAGGGTGAAACGGTGGCGATTGTAAGTTCTGCGCTTGAATGTGACATCATGTTGCGTTGTTTCCTTTTTCGTAAATCATTCAGGACGCCCGTACATATCATACAACATCCTTGGGTTTGGTTTATGTACATTCAACTGCCAGACGTATTCCACAGTACGGCTCACCCGGGCAACGTCACAAGGGATGTTTTCCCTTGGTCGCCGTACTTACTCAAAAATTCCGCTACAATTTGGGAATACCCCACCATTTGTTTCTTATCCGGATGCATACCACCCGCAGGTGGGCTATCCGTGCAAAATCCGGGATTGTTCACTTTGGAAAATCAACCATATTCAACAAATTACTATCCAAAGACCATCTGGATAACCGTCTGAACCTTCGGGATTGTCCCTCAGTTGAACACACATATTGGTGAAAATTATTATGGCCTTTCCTCTCATCCCAACAGAAATCGAACGGGCGTGGTTGCCAAAAGCTCAGAGATGAAGTCAGCTTACACTGTCGTTGTTAACCGGTGCACAAAAGCCCAGCAACTTGCCTCTGCGTTGACACTCTTGTTTCTCGAAAGGAGTAAGTTGAAGGTCCTGAGTTTGCAGCAAAAACTATTGCCAGTACATTAGAGCATGCAAGTGAGTATTATAAAGTAAGGGTCCGAGGAGGCACGAGACAAGAGTTTCGGGTATGCAGAGAACAGTTGCGAGCGTGCCATCAGACTGGGTTTGCCAGTGCCTTGGTACCATTTCACTCGCCTATCTCGGTTTCCGGATGGTCTCGTAAGAAACTTCACGGCTGAGTTGATCGGACAAGAGTGTGCATAACTGTCGCCAGCGGTATTTGCACCAGTCAAGGGGTAAACAGAGAGAATTTGGTTGGTACAGAATCACAAATAGTTCCACTTCCGGTTGGAAATCTGTGTGAGTATAGAGTGGAGTATGGGCAGAATGTACAACAGCGGTATGAAACGCTGGGAGCGCACCTGATCGCATCTCGCTGGGGCTCATCACTGCTCCTTTGATGGCGTATAACCTGCTTCACACCGCTTGCACATTTATGCGACTCCTACAGTCCTAACCATTCTTGCGTTGCCTGATAATAAGGTGATTCAAGGATGAAAACTTCACCGTACGTCCACTAGCATTCCAGGCCCTGTTCTTCACCAAAAAATCCAAACTGCGAAAACAAAATATTCCCATGCTCCATTTAAAAGGTGGCTTACTAGAAGGCGGTCATCTGAATCCCTAAAATCAACCACCGGTTGCTACCAACGGGTCCGCTTTTCCATCACTCATCTGCAGGACACATTACCCTTTGAGCCACACAATTGTATATGCCAGCCAGTCAGTCATTGACGTTGGTGCCAAAGAACCCCCACTTCTGGTAACAGTATGTCAGGTCTTCCAGTCAACCCGTCCTCTTATTCATTAGGATCAAATTCTGTTGGACCCCAACCCATCCCCAAAAACACTGAGGCTGGTTCCAGGCCAACCGGGCCTCCAAGCGCTCCTAATAAGGCCTGTGTGGCCAGGTATGCCCTGCGGAGAGAGTTGTCCCGTTGCGTTGCATCACGCTGCGTTTGTATACCCGCCACCCCTCTGGTAGCATAGGTGTTTTGATCATCGACAATGGTTCTGAGGCTGGCACTTAATCCAGGAAATCTATACAAATAGCTAAAAGAGTTATTTATTGGAAAATCAACCATATTCAACAAATTACTATCCAAAGACCATCTGGATAACCGTCTGAACCTTCGGGATTGTCCCTCAGTTGAACACACATATTGGTGAAAATTATTATGGCCTTTCCTCTCATCCCAACAGAAATCGAACGGGCGTGGTTGCCAAAAGCTCAGAGATGAAGTCAGCTTACACTGTCGTTGTTAACCGGTGCACAAAAGCCCAGCAACTTGCCTCTGCGTTGACACTCTTGTTTCTCGAAAGGAGTAAGTTGAAGGTCCTGAGTTTGCAGCAAAAACTATTGCCAGTACATTAGAGCATGCAAGTGAGTATTATAAAGTAAGGGTCCGAGGAGGCACGAGACAAGAGTTTCGGGTATGCAGAGAACAGTTGCGAGCGTGCCATCAGACTGGGTTTGCCAGTGCCTTGGTACCATTTCACTCGCCTATCTCGGTTTCCGGATGGTCTCGTAAGAAACTTCACGGCTGAGTTGATCGGACAAGAGTGTGCATAACTGTCGCCAGCGGTATTTGCACCAGTCAAGGGGTAAACAGAGAGAATTTGGTTGGTACAGAATCACAAATAGTTCCACTTCCGGTTGGAAATCTGTGTGAGTATAGAGTGGAGTATGGGCAGAATGTACAACAGCGGTATGAAACGCTGGGAGCGCACCTGATCGCATCTCGCTGGGGCTCATCACTGCTCCTTTGATGGCGTATAACCTGCTTCACACCGCTTGCACATTTATGCGACTCCTACAGTCCTAACCATTCTTGCGTTGCCTGATAATAAGGTGATTCAAGGATGAAAACTTCACCGTACGTCCACTAGCATTCCAGGCCCTGTTCTTCACCAAAAAATCCAAACTGCGAAAACAAAATATTCCCATGCTCCATTTAAAAGGTGGCTTACTAGAAGGCGGTCATCTGAATCCCTAAAATCAACCACCGGTTGCTACCAACGGGTCCGCTTTTCCATCACTCATCTGCAGGACACATTACCCTTTGAGCCACACAATTGTATATGCCAGCCAGTCAGTCATTGACGTTGGTGCCAAAGAACCCCCACTTCTGGTAACAGTATGTCAGGTCTTCCAGTCAACCCGTCCTCTTATTCATTAGGATCAAATTCTGTTGGACCCCAACCCATCCCCAAAAACACTGAGGCTGGTTCCAGGCCAACCGGGCCTCCAAGCGCTCCTAATAAGGCCTGTGTGGCCAGGTATGCCCTGCGGAGAGAGTTGTCCCGTTGCGTTGCATCACGCTGCGTTTGTATACCCGCCACCCCTCTGGTAGCATAGGTGTTTTGATCATCGACAATGGTTCTGAGGCTGGCACTTAATCCAGGAAATCTATACA